TCCCGGGGAGCTGTCTCCTGGCTTGCCTCCCGCTGCAAGGCAGGGCTTTGTTAGGGAGGCAGTGTAACCTAGTGGGCAAAGAATTGGATGGGGACGTAGGAGAATGAGATTCTATTCCCAGCCCTGCCACTGGCCTGCTGGGCCTCCTTGGGCAAATCACTTAGAATCCTAGAACTGGAAAGGATCTCGAGAGATCATCAAGTCCAGTCCCCTGCCCTCATGGCAGGACCCAGCACCATGATCATCCCGGACAGGTGTCTGTCCAACCTGCTCTTAAATATTTCCAATGATGGAGATTCCACAACCTCCCCGGGCAACTTATTCCAGTGTTTGACCACCCTGACAGTTCAGAAGTGTTTCCTAATGTCCAACCTAAACCTCCCTTGCTACAATGTAAGCCCCTTGCTGCTTGTCCTAGCCTCAGAGGCCCAGGAGAACAATTTTTCTCCCTCCTCCTTGTAACACCCTTTTAGCTACATGAAAGCTGCTAGTATGTCCCTCCTCAGTCTTCTCTTTTCTAAACTAAACAAGCCCAGTTCTTTCAGTCTTCCCTCATAGTTCCTGTTTTCCATCATTTTTGTTGCTCTTCTCTGGACCTTCTCCAATTTCTCCACATCTTTCCTGAAATGCGGTGCCCAGAACTGGACACAATACTCCAACTGAGGCCTAACCAGCGCAGAGTAGAGCGGAAGAATGACTTCTCATGTCTTGCTTACAACACACCTGTTAATGCCTCCCAGAATCATGTTGGTGCTTTTTTTTGCAACAGCATCACACTGTTGACTCCTATTTAGCTCACAGTCCAATATGACCCCCAGATCTTTCTGCCGTACTCCTTCCTAGACCGTCCCTTCCCATTCTGTGTGTGTGAAACTGATTGTTCCTTCCTAAGTGGAGTATTTTGCATTTGTCCTTATTAAATTTCATCCTATTTACCTCAGACCACTTCTCCAGTTTGTCCAGATCATTTTTAACTATGCCCCTATCCTCCAAAGCACTCGCAGCCCCCTCCTCCGCAGCTTGTTATCCTCGGCAAAGTTCCCCATCCCTTAGGCCTCAGTGTCCCCATCTGCCAGAGGAGGATCCGACACCGAGCTGCTTTGTAAAGCGCTGTGAGGTCTCCAGCGGGAAAAGCGCCCGGTAGGAGCCTGGGGTTATCCTGGGGCCCTGGGTGACACTCTCCTGGGGATAAGGGCCCTGCACTGGAGCAGATCTCGTAGGTGTGCTACTGGAAGCCACACAGGAGGAAGGGGGGGCTGGGTGCTCGTGGCGCCGTTGCTCCGTCTGTGGCGAACGGCGGGCGTTGACTCTCTGATCCGTCCTTCCACCGCAGGAGCGCCTACTGCGCCGCCTCAGTGGCTTCGCTGACCAACATCCTCACCCCCACGCTCTTCGCGGGCACGGCCGAGTGGATCGCGAGGTGAGCGGTGTGCAGAGCTGCCCCGGGGAGAAACGAGGCTCCCCTCTGAGAGGGCGGGGCCGTGCGAGATCCCACGGGGGCGCCCCACACTGGGCTCCCCTTGCAGGCGGGCGTTGGCGTCACGTTCTCCCTGCCTGCCCCTCTCTGAACTAGGTGCCAGAACTGGGAGGGCGGCATTGGCGGCGTCCCGGGCATGGAGGCCCACGGAGGATACACGTTCTGTGGCCTGGCGGCGTTGGTCATCCTGAAGCAGGAGCACTTGCTG